GTCGCTCAACTTTGTGATAAAGTACTCGGAGAATTGTGCGGATACATCTGCTATGAAAATAAAAATAAATTCATGGACAGGCCATTCATCCCTTAGGAAGCAAAAAAGCCTGTCTTGTCCTGAATGAGGTAGCCTCTGTGAACAATAATCCACACGTGTTAAAAAAAGATTTGAAAAACAAACATATTTTAAAGCCATATTTTCTAAATTTGTTGTTTACGATTAGAATGATGTTCATTTTATTCTTTATTTACATTGTACTAGATCGGTATAACCGAATTGGTTACAAAACAAAATTCTTCTTATCTTAAAACAAATACCATTGGTTTTTCTGTTATAACTATTTCTCTTTGTGAATATTTACTTTTTCGGTTTTTTTTCTATTCTCTATATCTTCATTATTTTCTTAGTTTATCTCCCATGTGTCACCCTCTACCCGCCTCTTGTCTCTGTACCCTAATTGGTCTGTCTGAGATCTCACTGGTCTAACGGCAGGTGAATTTTGCAAAGATCGCCTTGTTAGTCCCCAGCCCACTTCCTCGGCCCCTGTCACAAAATCTCGGCATGTCACAGCCAATTGGTACCAGAGTAGCAAAATTGTCGACAGTGGAACTCCCGGGAGTCTCAGCGTTCCTGCCAGGGAGACCCAGCGATATGTGAGAGGAGCTGTATTGGGTTCATTACGACTGCAAGTTCGAGAACTGCCTCTGCAATTTTGACATTTCGGGTCTTTAAGGAATTTTCCATTCTTGATTAAACTAATTCGATTTTGTTCACTTTTTGACATATGTCTCTCAAAGAGGCGCCTTGTTTCTTGCCCACAAGACCAGATCACACAAAAATGTTCTGAAAATAAACTCCACCTGTCCGTCTTGATCCTCTCCTTTTGGTCTCCAATGTCAATCCAAAAGACAAACAAGTCGAAATTATTTTGCAAAATAAATAGAAGAAACCTTGGAAGCATAATTTAAACTTCATATTTTCAGACATTTGCAACGTTATCAGGATATAATTATTTCTAGATCTAACTCAAAATTGTCAAATCTGCATTCCCTTGTGCATAACAATTGCAGGTTGTAGACCATAATTTAATCATTTATGTCAGATTACAGTATTTAATCTGTTTCTTGTATTGGCCTAAAATATATCATAAAGGCAAAAATTGATATTTCTATTCAAAAAGCAATGCGTTTTCTTCATTCCGATATGTAACACAAATACGTATTTATATGAGTTTCAATAAATCATATGTCGGTTGGTACATACATATAAATATAACACAAGTTATGTTTATCCATGCTCTTGCAATTGTGTTATTTAACGAAGTTTTTCGCTTGGTGTGCAATCTTACAACTAGAAATGGACGGTCGTTCAAATTGCCTTGTTGTCATTGATGGATATCATATAATTATCGCCACGATGTACTATTTTGAAAAATATCCTGTAATGAATGTAACATTTGGAGCAAAATTGTTAGAGGTCATATGCATAGGGGACAATGTAGCAGCTGGTTAAATATCATCGTTAATATGATACGGTTCACGATACAGCAAATAGGGGCTAAACACTCTCGTTAACGGACATCGAGTAGCTAAATTTAAATATTTTTCCACTGTTGTTTCTGTTATACTTTTTCTATGTTTATCAATCATGACCTTACAACTCTGAAGCCAGATCAGATGGCAATAACACCTCATATGAATGCCAGTGCCAATATCTTGAGTTATCTAACGTGTGTTAAGCAGCTGAAGTTAAATATATTTTCCACTAATTCTATCTGTGTTTAATCAAGTGACATACTTATCATCCATATGACTGCCGCTCTGTAGTCAAATCAAGTTGCATTTACATCTGTTATGAATGCCAGTGCCAATATATTCTTTGACATTATTATGACGACAAAAATATGATAGCTACTACAAACCTGGAAGGTATCGGATCAATTGTTTCATTTTAAATTAAGTTAATTATGACTATATTTTCCAACAATCATGGCTTTCACCGTAGTAAAATACGTCCGCGTTACCATCTGACATGGAATAAATGCAATGATTGCTCTTTTTTATTGCATGAATGGTAATGTAATTTCAATTTCTCTGTCTGGAAAAGCATGTTTAGCAACAGAATATGATTGTATAAAATAGTATTAGGAATCCGATACGTTATTGATCAGGTGTATGTACAGCTTTCCAATATCACAGAATAGTGGGAATAATGATATACTTTCTACAATATATATCTATATATATTTCGATATAATTTAACAAACTATTTTATAGCGTTATGAATCATTTACTCGAATCAGTCCGAAAATAAATCGGTGTCTATCGTCTAATTAAACGGCAAACTCTTAAGAAGTATGAATTACGAATATGCTGGGAAAAAATTGTAGTAGCAATTGTTCAGATCGAATTTTCTGTAAACATTACTTTTGGGGTGAGCATAAAGTGGAGACCACATTTTAGGTCGATTTCTGTAACAGACAAAAAAATCCATTATCAATCATGTGTATCGGACGTCACAGATAATACTTACGTATTGATCGGATACATAATCAAGCAAGAATGTTATAATATATCACCGCGTTATTTGTTTTCGTTGTACTTAAACATTTGTATGACTAAAACTTAAACATTTGTATGACTAAAACTTAAACATTTATATGACTAAAACTTAAACATTTGTATGACTAAAACTTAAACATTTGTATGACTAAAACTTAAACATTTGTATGACTAAAACTTAAACATTTGTATGACTAAAACTTAAACATTTGTATGACTAAAACTTAAACATTTTACTGATAGGGACTATTTGTTTTACTCAAGAACACGTTGTGTTTAACTTCAAACATCAGTTGGTGAGTTTTCACATGATATGAACATCTTTATTAGAAATGAAATATCATCGAATTTGTCGACGATTTTAAGTATAACATCAATTAAAATTATAAACAATCATCACAGCTAGGTCTTTAGTTAAAAGAATATCACGAAATTAAAGCCACTTGTGTTGTCGAATGGTCTCAAACGACTTTTACATCGCCATGCAATCAAAAACAAGAAGAACAATAAATATCGGAATTTAGTCATGTTTCATATTTTATCATTTAATTACAATATAATGATACACTGCAAGTGGATATACATGATTCCATTCCTTATATGGAAAACTGTTTAACGATATTACATATAGTTTATATCTAGAAGGTGTGGTTGTATCATATATTCATGATATATACGTTTTATGTCAAATATGCCAGTCAATGGTGTGTTTGAATGCTAACAAAGATGTATCAGTAGAAACAAAGGCTTTGATGTCGGCAGTGTAAATTACGTGTAATAAAGTAAAAATAACATGGTCTATAGCTCTCCCACTGATCAGGGCGAGGCTGTGATGATGAAGCGAATATGAAAAATTGGTTATATCTTGAGGCTAAAAAAACCGTATGTTATAATTGGTGGCTGTTCAAAATCAAATAACATAATAGTCATATACTCCCTTGGGGATTTAAAACTGCAAATTGGTTTATTGAACACCGATCTTAGTAAACCTTAGTCTTAAACATATATAACGTAATATAATGTTTAAAGATAATAATTGAAGCAGAGTTTGATTGGATCAAATACACTATTACGTTTAGAAGTTTAATGTCCCTTAGGCTATATGGAGATCAAACATCCAGGATCCGCAAGTTATCGAATAAATGTCAAGTGCTGGAATACTAATCGTTTTTCCTAAACAAACCTTATTGAAACATTCACTTCGCTTAACAAGAGACTGGTTTATTTCAATCATGAATAAAAGCCACACATATTTGAAACCTTTTGGGCGGAGGAGTATATTTATTGAGTTGGGTGATTTTATTGAATACTAATCCTTTGATCAGTTCGGATATACACCATGTAGATGTGTCATAAGAACCACAGGTTGTTATTCAACAGTACGTGATCATACGAAGAGACTGCTTCTCTTACACGAACAAACCAGTGCTGACATCACACTGTGCTTCCACTATATTTTTACATAAGATTATACGACTTTATTCTCTATATATCCTCTGTGTTTATTGTACAAAATATTAAAAAACATTTGAATTAATTAAGAGCTTTTTCGATCCAGGTATTAAAATTTATGACCTAACAGATATTGAAATTATTGAATTATTAAGTTGCATTTTGTGGTTTTAGCTATATCAACTTATTTTTTTAAGTATTAACTTTATTTAATTTACATACAATTAATTGCCTTTAACACTAAGGGAGGTAACTCGGAACATGAATTGGCAAATACCGAAAATTGAAAATTTTATTCTGTTTGATTTTCATAATGGTTGTCAATCATGCACATTCATATTTCTTCCGTGATGTATTCACAAAACCGTCAAATTATTCAATACGGAAACATAAGACAATAATAAGGGCAAAACTATCTTTGTGTGGTTTGAAACGAAACTACTTTAATATACAGCATTGACATCATTACATTGTACTATATATTACTATATAATACTTTGTAAACATTATTGTCATCATTTCATTTGCGTTTAAATTGATGATTAATTATCCGAGCCAATTCGATATAAACTTAAAAAACCATTGACAAGCATCTCCGAAAGAAGAATATTTATTTAAAGTGATAGTAGATATTGTTTAATCCCATCCAAAATGGTTTCTTATGTTCCTAACTATTGTGACACATATTCAGTTTGATGGAAGTAATTATATTTGATGAGCAAGACAAATGTTAAACCACAGAATGGTATTACTGATAATCAAGAACATTTTAGATACTTTCATACTGATTTAAAGGAAATTTAAACGTTCCCTCATTTCATTTTGAATTCCGGCTTAGCTTGATTTATTGTATTATAGTTTGTACAATATATACATAAGTGTGTCTTAGAATATTGTAAATTAAACATCAGAACATCTATAACTATAACAACATTGCTTACGGTTGATTTTCATTTCCTTATCAATCGTTTTTGTGTGTTTCAGTGCCGACGACTACTAAACAGGGGGACTTTGGTTTCACCACGGCAGTCACAACAGCGACCCCCCAACAGCCAAACATGGGCCGTACCAACTTCACAAACAAACAATTAACAGAATTGGAGAAGGAATTCCATTTTAATAAATACTTAACTCGTGCTCGGCGAATAGAAATAGCTGCCTCGTTAGGCCTCAACGAAACTCAAGTAAAAATATGGTTTCAAAATAGAAGAATGAAACAGAAAAAACGCATGCGTGAAGCTCAATTTGAAAATTCAATGAGAGACAATTGTCAATTGAACATAGACGGACTAGGCATGACGGCAATGACATTATGTCAAGAGGGGCGGTAGAACTAAGGCCCCACGTGACTTGTGAAATACCTCGTTGTGAAATTCTTATGTTTGTTTTTACACTCGTCAAAAATCGTTTTGTTTTCTTGTCCTAAGGACAACTATTAGAAAGTTGGCATGCTGTCGATGATTAGTGCTTCAAAACTAAATTGTTGTCAAGACAACCTTACTGCGTTACTTCCTCATTCAAATGAACGGAAGTGGTATCCTTTGAAAACAGGGTATTTTTGGAAATACGTTGGAAAAGTCCCCTTGACGCAATGCATGCTTCCTGAATTTCAACATAGGCTCAATATTGACCTTCGACCCTTTGTGTGATTATTACATTGTTATCATTTATCGTTCATGTGTTATTGAAAGTTGTTTCTCACAAAATATGAAAAATGATATGAAGTTTACGTAAAAAAACTTATTGTGGGTGTTATTGTCATAAAATTATAAAGACATGTCCTATTCTCATACCTAAGTTCACGTTGAACTTGCAATACAATTGGTCTGATCAGCTGGGCAGTTAGCAATGTCATTGAATTTCGCGAGTTTAAAACTCTAAAGAAATACACTGATGGTGTAGGAAGCCTAATATCATGTATTTATCTGAACACTCTGTGATGTTCTTAAAATCCTATTCAGGCGATGTGTTATCTATTGACCTAGTCATTTTATTATTATACCGCGTATATTTTGCTTTTATCTAAATCCGTTTAAGATGATATGAATATGTCATATGTTACCCGTGAATAATTTGCATAATGTTTACTCACAGGAAAAGGCGGTCTGTACTTCTTATTTGACTTGTTTTCCTTCCGTAGGAAAGTGAAGGTATCCATTTTTACTAATATCTCAATTACTTCTCGTCATCCATTGATTTGTGTCTGTGTGTTATAAGACTACATTCCACTGAATCAGTCATTTTAGAACTATATCTTGGTGCGTAATAACACACATGTAAAGATGGTGCTCAGGCTGTGACGATGTCTGTTAATAAATTCAATGGCGGGTGATTATCACTACCATTTTAAGAGAAACAAAAGGCAACCTCCCTTCTTGGCTGAAAAAAAACACCGTCATTAATAAAGTAACTATTTTAGGCGTCTTCACTGTATTTTGTTCCATCAGATAGTAATTATAGAAATATTACTATTCCTAGCATATTTGCTTCCTTTTGCAATTAACTTTATACACATGTATATTTGAAACGACATATTCAATTTCGATCTTTGCTCGGTACAATTTATCGATTATAAATTCAGTATATTTTCTGTTCAATCAGATTAAAATCAGTACCAAATGTCTCTATATATATGTATCTCTAGAATGACATTTCCTGATTGACATGATAAAATTATCTATGTTAATTACACCACAAGAAGGATTGATTTCTCGGATTAGTTCTAAAGGCAGACAAATCGTTAAGATAAAATGTCATATACGCCATGTGCCTTCACCACACATTGTAAGCTATAGAGGAAGGGAGGTAACCGATTATTGTTTCCTACGAATATAAGACGTTTTTAGCCACGTACTGAAAGTGCGTATTAGTTTTCTATGTGTTTTGTCCCAAACTTAGAAAATAAATATAAATAATTCATGTGTGTAAATGCTCAAACTAGTGTCATATTTATTGAACGTAGGTAATGATTATTTTCTATTATTATTTATGTGATGCAAATGAAATACTGCAAATTTGAAAAATGCTAAAAAAAAAACATTTTAAAAGCATGTTTATGTGTATATTAAAATGTTTGCATAGTTAGTTATTCACAAGCAAACATATCACCTGAGAGATTTACTAGTAGGTCCCTATTTGCAATATTTCAGGCATTGTTTTGTACAGCTGTCGTGTGAGACGAATAAAATGACATATTTTTGGTGCAATACATATTGAATTGTCAGTGTTGTATTTCTATTTCAAATTTGAAGAAATGCGTTTGATGTTACTCTTATCGACAGATCAATGTGTGCGAAATAGTTTCACAGGAATCTATACTAACCAGAGTTATGTTCCTTTATTTGTGTCCTAAACTACTGTCGATACAAATTTCAATTTGCCATAATATTGAATGACTGCTCTTACATTGATCGGATTCGAACTATTGTAATACCTTGATAGTAATAATTGATTGAAACAGAAATTATCAGCTGTATTTATTCAGTATGATGTAAAATCGATAAACACGCTCATAAGCAATCAATTTTAAAATGGTACCTATACTGAAAGACATATAATACCAGCAATTCATAAATCTAAACTTACAATTTACTTATTTATAACGTAGCTAAAATATCTATGATAATTTGCTTCAACCAAAGATAATCGCACAATTTAGTAAAATAACTGACTGAAAAGAACGATTAGACATTCTGTTATTCTAAACATATAAAATGTATTGTTTTTGAGATTACAAAATTTGGGATTCCAAATAAAATGAATAATTTTTGATATCACAAAATATAGGATTTCAAACATAAAATGCATTATTTTCACTTATTATCTTACCCTTTTCTTATGCCATCATGAAAAAAACAAAACTTTATTCGTCAAGCACATTTATCTGATGTTAAATTAGGCTAATATAAAACATATTTATCAATCAAAGTTCGTATAAATAATGAAGGAAGTCTAAGATATGTGTTTATATAATTTGTTAATGAAGGGGAAGTAGCCATAAATTATCATAACATTTAAATAGATACGATAAAATATAAATATATCTTAAATTATTTACAACAAATGTAGTATTTTTGTCAATCAATTATCATAGTTATAATATTAATTTTCAGCAACAACAAAATCGATAAGTGATGGTAAAGTGGAATACTCCTTTCAACATAATATCTTATTTACATACAAGTTAACCTATATGGACAAATTAACAAGAACAAACAATTTTGAAAGAATTCAATAATATCTTGTTGCTCAAAAGTTCTGTTCGATGAATTGCAAAGACCTAACTGTAAACGAATTTAGAAGATCTCTTGACGTACAAGTACTGCGGTGTACGACAACTAGATATATCAATTATTGCAGACAATCGTTTCTAGAAATATTGGCTTGATTTGCTGATCACACTTAACTTGCCAATGGTAAGTACGTAATCTGAACAAATTTAAAATATACATGCTGTCTAACAGGTTTTTATGAATTCTACTTAATTATTCAATGTTACAACGGCAAATATCGACGTGAAATATTTCCTACATTTTAACAAGCATCCAATTCTGAAACACGGCCAGCATGAGGACCTGGATTTGATTGAACGAACTCATTTTATCAATACAAGTAATGAAATGACACGTCTTTCACTATCTATTGCGTAAGATTGGTTTATATCAAGTGGCTAGTGAAATAAAGATGTGCATTAATACTTGGGCTATCAGTAAACGGTTCATTGTTAACATCACATAGTCTGGCATATGTTCTTCAATGGTCATTCATACAGGTATTTAATTCAGCAACAGACGACAGATACAGGAGGAGAACAAGCAGATAAAGACGGATACAGTGGTAAAACTCAGAATCAATAAATTACGATATAACCCATAATCATTTTAGGAGAACTGATGTATAGTAAAATAAACATTAGATATACATGTTATCAGTGTACTACAAGGACAAATGACCGATAAGCTGGGTGCTGGGGCTGCGATAAATAGTTGGACGGTGAAGGTTTGTTCTTGTGTTGATAACAACAGTGATGTGTATGCTATGAATATTCATGCAATGTATGAAAAAGTCATTGGCTAAGCGTTTTAGTGCAAATATAGCAATAATGACGGTTATTTAAAAAAAAATATGTTAGAAGCTCATTTCAGTTCAGCAAAATAAATAAAATGATAATTAAAGTAACAAATGAGCTTTCTTCACAAAATGTTTTCTTTCATTTTTTTGCTTTGTTTTGCTTTAGTTTTGCATGTTTGTGTGGCTTCTTTATTGATATTTCATGATAACGACAACGGTATTTTTCAGCAAAAAAAGAAGGAACTCAATATGTAGACAACACCGTAAAGAAAATATACAACTTTTGCCAAAATCCATTTTGCATAAGTATTGGCATTTATTAATTCAATTCATACCTTCAATTATGTATCACTTACCAATCGTAAGAAGGGGGCTAACGGTCGGAACATTATTACTGAGGTAAGTAAAACAAAGAAAACAGCTAACGTGCTTATCAGAGAGATTCATAGCCGATATGTCCTTCCTGTTTTGTAAAGATCAGTATATGAAACTAAATATAAAGAAGAAGAATCCATGTAAGAAGCAAATCTAGATTGAAGTTATGGATATTTAACTAAGTTAATGTAGTTCTTGAATTGTAATCGTTTGACTCATAGTACAAGATAAACCTATAAATCTTAATGGAAAAGAAAAAAATCACGTGAGTATCTTATATTTTTCTTTTATATTTTGTAGAGATGATGTTCATTTCGTTCCCGTTGAATAACCGGTCACACGCAAAGTGATCTTTATAGCATCATCAATTGTCACCTTACATATCTATCCTGACACATTACCCATTATTTATTTCAAATCATTACAATCTCGTAACATTGTGTGGTTGCCGTATGCATACAAACTAGGCATCGGTATGGACAAATATATCAAGAATTCGAATTTATCGCTATCTATTCCCTATAAATTACTTTTCTGTTTGTACTTTCGTAATTTGAAACAATTTTGTCCATCATCATTTATATAAAAATATGGTGAACATCTCGTTTGCGACTCAAATATTTGTATTTGTTGGTATCCCAAATAGTATTTTTAAACATTTTCTTCAGGCTGGTAATGTCAATAGAATAGAAGTTCTTATAACACAACCAGTACTGTGACGTTTCGATGACTACACGGGCACCTTGTTCAGACAAAATCAAATGAAGGTGACTGTGTAGTCATCACAACGTCACAATCTGATCTTCAACTGGCTATGTTATAAGACCTTCTATCGGGAATAACACTTTTTTTCTAGAAAAATATCAGGGGGTCCGTTGTATATTTA